TCTGCTCCCCGCAGGCGCCCGCATGGTGCGGGAGCTCTTTGTGATGGCCCGGGAACATGCGCCCTCCATCATCTTCATGGATGAGATCGACTCCATCGGCTCGTCCCGCCTGGAGGGTGGCTCTGGCGGGGACAGCGAGGTGCAGCGCACGATGCTGGAGCTCCTCAACCAGCTCGATGGCTTCGAAGCCACCAAGAATATCAAGGTGCGAGGGCGGTTGTCCCTGAGCTGCCTGGGAAGGGACCGCTGTCCAGCTGGTCCCACGGTGGCAGGAGCGGCCCAGAGCGGTGACAGCTGCTCCTGTCCTGGCGCAGGTGATCATGGCCACAAACAGGATCGATATCCTGGACTCGGCTCTGCTGCGCCCTGGCCGCATCGACAGGAAGATCGAGTTCCCCCCTCCCAACGAGGAGGTCAGTGGGCTGCCCGGGCAGCTCCTTCCCTCCGCAAGATCGCGGAGCTGATGCCGGGGGCGTCGGGCGCGGAGGTGAAGGTGAGGCCGGTGCACGGGGCGGCTCCGTGGGGCTGCGGGATGGAGCAGAGGGAGATTCCGCTGTTCCTCGCAGGGGGTGTGCACCGAGGCCGGCATGTACGCGCTGCGGGAGCGGCGGGTGCACGTCACGCAGGAAGACTTCGAAATGGCTGTTGCCAAGGTAGGTGCGGGGGGAGATTCCTCCTGGGGCAGCGCCCGCACCAGGAGCGACCACGGGGAGCTGCGGGCCGGGCCCTGCCCCGGCTCTAGGGTTGAGCTGCGCCTAGACGCGGCCCTGGGGCTGAGGGGACCACAGCTGGGCACAGCTGGAGCTGGTGGCTCCAGTGCTGGCCTGGTCACGGCTGCAGCTCCTGGGCTGGTGGCACCCAGGGGTGGAAGCAGGGCTGGGGACAGAGGGGACCACCTCTCTCCTCCCTGTGCAGGTGATGCAGAAGGACAGCGAGAAGAACATGTCCATCAAGAAGCTGTGGAAGTAACGGCCCGGCTGGGGCTGCCTCCCTTCCTGCTGTCTAATAAAGCGCTGCTGCAGCCAGGCCTGGTGCTCGTTTGGGGCCAAGGGGGGAGCAGGGGATTCGGGGCGCCACAACCCGAGAGAGCCCTTGCAGACACACAACCACCTGCTGCTAACTGTTTTTATTAGAAAATATCCAGAATAGACAAAATGGTTACACAAGAGGCAGAGCAGGCACCCCTGAGCCGTACACCCTGTGGCTGTAAACGCCCCCGTTCGGAGGCTGCGGGGAAGGGGCTGCGCTGGGTAAGGCACTTGAGCGGGTCCCAGGGCGGTGGCCCTGTCCTGGCCCCCGTGCGGCCGCTGCCCCTGTCCCCAGCCCCCGGTGTCTCCAGTTATCACCCCCCGTGTCCTCCGACCCTCAGCTTTGGCCCAGCTGCCCCCCTTGCCCACGGCCTCCTCGGGGCAGAGCTGCCTCCCTGGGATGGAGCACCAGGGCACTCCCTGCAGCTGTGAAACAGGGAGGGGGGAAGAGTCAACTGATTGTCAAGAACTCAAGCCTAAAAACTTGGTTACATATAAAAAAAAAAAAAGAACAGCTTGGGCCAAGCCAGCCCTTGAGAACACCATGAATCCACTGCATAGATTGAGGCAATGAGTGCACTAAGAGGAACTCAATATATTAATCAAATACAAACCCACTGTACAAAAAGCTTCCTTTTTTTTCTCTTATAAAACCTGTTCACAAAAATAGTGCAAAACATCGGGCACCAGTGGGGCCTGGCGTTTGGAATGGACAAACTTTGGTTGAAGAGGAGGGCCGGGGAGGGGGCTGGCAGGGCCGGCAGCGCCTCCCCGGCCCCTTTCCCTGCTGGGCGATTCCAGGAGGGCTTTGGCCAGCGGCAGAGGAGGGGAGCGAGCGGGGGCGGCTGCTCGGGGGCAGAAGCGGCGCGATGCGAGAGCAGAACGTGTTAGCGCAATGGAGGGGGACAGCGGGGGACCAGGGGACCCTCCAACTGCTCTGCCTTTGGCTAGAGCTTCCTGGCCGAGGGGAGCCCGGGGTGCGAGTGGCTCCGACTCCCTGCAGGCACGTAGGCTTTGTGCAAGTGCTGTATTTGATTCCAGTAAGAAGTAGCCCGGGGCTCAGGCGGCCGGGAGAGCAGAGGAGCTCCCGAGCCCGTCCCTTAGGTGAGGCGGATCCCGAGCACTTGTTCCAGTTCCTGCCGGCGCTGCTGGACCTGCGGGAGAGGAGGAGGGCGGTGAGGCAGGAAGAGGGACGCGGCGCCGGAGCATCAGCGCGTTCCCCGCGAGCAGTTCTTGCCCGTTCAGGAAGGCACCGTCAGCGTTCTGGTCTCCTCCTGTCCAGCCTCCCCTTGTGACAGTCCCTCCCCTTTGGCCCCACCTGAGTTTTCCAATCTCCAACACCTGAGAGCAGCAGGAAGCTTCAAGCTCCCCCTTGGAAGAGCTTTGGGGACACAGCGGAGGAGGCCAGGCCTGGGGACAGGGGACAGCAGGGCAAGGCCAGCCCGAGGCTGCAGCGAGGAGCCCACCTTGGCGAAGATGTGTCTCCCCACAGCCTCTTGCGCCCAGGGCTGCTGGTAGAACTCGGCTCGTCTCTCCTCCTCAGGGTTCCCGATGACGTCCGTTATGATCTGAGCAAAGCGCGGGGCGCAACGGGGTGAGCGCCAGGGCTGGTGCCCTCCCCGCTGCGCAGGCCCTGCGAGAGCCCCGCACTGTCCCCGCACCAGGGAACAAGCAGCTCTGGGCTGGGGCCCTGCTCCTCTCCTGCCCCAGGGTTTTACCTTAAGGTCCCTCCTCTGGGATTTGATCCATTCCTGGATGAATTCCTGGGGGTTGTTGCTGAAGCTCAGCATGAAATCCCGCTGCGTCTTCAGCTGGTTGATGGATTCGATGGTCTCATGGATCTAGGGAGGTGACAGGAGGTGAGGGGATGCTGGGGAGGTCGCTGAGCAGTAGCTGGAGTTGACCAAAGTCCCCCCAGAAACGCAGCCGGCACCGAGCTCCTCCCAAGCTCCACGTGGCACTGAGGCCAGGTTGACTCCAGGAGCCCCAGCCCCGTGCCCGGCACTCCGTGGGTGTCCCAGCACCTTGGCATCCAGGGAGGCGATCTCCTGCTGGTTGGTGGTGGAGGCCAGGAAGTTGCTCATCTGAGCTTTGAGGGGGTCGTCCACCTCCACATCGATGTCGTAGCAGGCCGTCTTCTTCTGGTCATTGGGGTCCACGCTGGGAGCACAGGGGGTGAGGGGAGGCCTTCCCCGGCCTCCTCCCTCCCGTAGGAGGGGATGTAACCGCACCCCAACAGCAA